CTTAAATTTTTTTGTGTGGGGGGGTGGCTGGCTGGTACAGGGATCAAACCCTTGACCTTGGTGTTATCGGCACCACCGCTCTAATCAACGGAGCTAACTGGCCAGCCCAGGTCACTTAGCTTCTGACCTCAATTTCCTTATCCATAAAGTGGGAATAATAACTGTCTCACAAGTATTAGTTTTCTTTTGTAAAGTGCTTAGCAGCATGCCTGGTCCAGAAAAGGTGCTCAGTAAACAGCAGCTATCATTAGTGTTGGTGTTGTCTTCCCAGAGAGAGTACAGAAATAAAAGAATTTCCTGAACCCAGGATGCAGTTTGGATGCAGCCTGGTCCTTGAGTTTTTGGGGCAAGTGAGGGAAGTATCTGTTGCTATTTAAATCCCAGGGACCCAGCAGCTCTGCTGTCCCCAGAGGGCACCACACTGCTTCCAGATCTGCCAGGTAAGAAGAGCACTTGTTGACTTGACTACAGATCTGCACTGGCCACACGTGGCTACCGGGCACTTGAAACATGGCCAGTCCTGAATGAATGTGTGGTAGAGCGTAAAATACACACTGGATTCAAAGACATCATATGACCAAAAAGAATATAAACGATCTTATAATTTTTAAAAATGGACTATATGTTGCAATGGTAATGTTTTTGATATAGTGGGTTAAATAAAATATATCATTGAAATTAATTTTACCTCTTTTTACTTTTTTAATGTGGCCAGCAGAACATTTGTAATGACCTGTGTGACACGTTGTATTCTTATTGGATGGCTTAGAAAGCTTGGGTTGTAGCAGAAGCTTTGACCTGACGCAAGTCATTTAAACTTCTGATTCTCTATTTTCTTAAAACGGGAGGCATTAGACACACCAGATGAGTTTTTTTCTTTAGCACTGTTGGATGCTTTGTCACCACAGTGGTGACAGTGGTAGAATGAAGGCTTCATTTCCAGGCTGGCTGGGGTTTGGAGGCTTTACTGTGGGTACTTCTTTGGCTGCTGTTGCTAACTAGCTGTGTGGTCAGTGTGGTCTGGAGCCATGTCTTTAACTTCAGTCTGCCAGGTGTCCACTTTTCCATCACCATGTGACTAGTTTGTGCCCGGCTCTCTTCTCTGCTTGGGGATCCAAACTGGAGACAGACCACGGTTATCCCCACCAAATTTTCACAGGTGGAAACTCCAAGGTACCAACAGGCTGGCTCTGCTGGTTGGAAGCTGAACCAGAACTAAAACCTTGGGATATGAGTTTGAATTTGTTTTATTGACTGTAGTAGACCTTGTCTGCCTGGTCCAACACCATGGCCCCAGAGCTTGCATGAAAAATGCAAGAGAGCAGGTGCTTGATGAATGAATGAATGAACTTTGATTCCCAGGGCTTTCTTCTGTGTTAAGCACTTTACAGGCACAATTGCATGTCATCCTCACTAGGCCTGTGAAGTAGGAAGTGGCCGAGCTGGATCTGAAGCCAGGTCTCCCGCCTCAGCCTGCCATTTAACCCTGACCTAGCTGTGCTGCCTTCAGCAAGTCTCCAAGGTTGGACTATTTCCCTGTTGCTGTTGTAACAAATTACCACAAATTTAGTGGCTTAATACAACACAACTTTATTATCTTACAGTTCTGGGTGTCAGAGGGCTAAAATGGGTCAGCCAGGCTAGCTCCCTTCTGGACGCTCTATGGGGGAAGCCATTCCTCCCTGTTTCCAGCTTCTAGAGGCCACCAGCACTCCTGGCTGGAGGTCCTGCATCACTCCCTCATTCACAATGACGAGACTCGTATCTTTCTCTGACTCTGACCTCCTGCTTCCATCTTATAAGGACCCTTGTGATTCCACTGGGCTCACCCAAATAATCCAGGATAATCTTCCCATCTCAAGATCCTCTTAATGGCATCTGCCAGGTCCCTTTTGTCTTGTAAGGTGACATATTCACAGGTTTCAGAGATTAGGACTTGGACATCTTTGGGGGGTAGGGGAGGGGCATTATTCTGCCTACGACAAAGTGTGCTTTTCTTCTCCAGCAAATGGGAATAATAGTAATATCTATGTCTGGGCATGTGGTGAGGATTAAATGAGTGATCTACAGGTGGTCTTCACCACACATGGCTGGCACATGGTGAGTGCTCAATAAACTGCGCAGAGGCTGGGCTTACTCATGTGGATGCGTAAGGCCGCTCATGTGGGCTTACCTGTTACGTGGATGAGGCAGGATTGATGGCCGACCTAAAATGGGTTTAAGGTCAAAGAACAAGGTGGGAAATGAAGATTAGGGTGATATCCTCCCTGTCTTGTGGAGAGAAGGAATGAGGACATTGGCAGGGAGGTATTACAGATTTGATTATTTTAAAGAGAGGATAGGGGCCGGCCCGTGGCTCACTCGGGACAGTGCGGTGCTGATAACACCAAGGCCCCGGGTTCGGATCCCATATAGGGATGGCCGGTTCGCTCACTGGTTGAGCGTGGTGCTGACAACACCAAGTCAAGGGTTAAGATCCCCTTACCGGTCATCTTTAAAAAAAATAAAAATAAAAATAAAGAGAGGATAAATGACCATGAACAGAATGTAAGACATTCAGAAAAGTATAAATAAGGCAATAAAATTACCCAGAATCCCACTACCCACGTACTGAATTTCATGAGTCTGGCTTCTGGAGTCCACTTTCCTCCTAGGTCTAGCTGTGTGGCTTTAGACAAGTTACTTAACCTCTCACATGGCCCTTCTCTCACTTGCGGATTGAAACAATAATATCCGCCCCAGGGTTGAAATTAAAGGAGACGAACTGAGCAAAGCTCTTTAACACAGGAGTGGCCTACAAGCTGGAGCTTAGCGAAAGATGCCTGGAAGAGAGGGGCAGGATGATTTGGATGCCAGGCCCCAGCTACTTTTTTTTTTTTCTGTCATTGCTTTTTTTTTTTTTTTTTTTTTTTTTTTTAAGGGGATCTTAACCCTTGACTTGGTGTTGTCAGCACCACACTCTCCCAAGTGAGCTAACCGGCCATCCCTATATAGGATCCGAACCCGTGGCCTTGGTGTTATCAGCACCGCACTCTACCAAGTGAGCCACGGGCTGGCCCTTCTGTCATTGCTTTTTATTTTTTTTCCTTTTTTGTCTTTTTTCGTGACAGGTAACGGGATTGCAACCCTCGGTGTCGCGCCCGTACCGCGACCAGCAATGGGATCGCAACCCTTGGTGTCGCATCCGCACGGCGCTCAACCAGTGAGCGGACCCGTCTCTATATGGGATCCAACCCTTGGCGGAAGCGCCGCTGCGCTCCCAAGAGCCGCACTCTACCGAGTGCGCCACTGGGCCGGCCCCTGTCATTGCTTTTTAATATTGTTTTACTACTTGCCAAGATGTCTAGAATAAAAAGCCAGAACCCTTCTTAGCTCTCCCAACCTTGCACCACAGAGGTAACGGAGAGGAAAGTGCATTCTCCCAGACCTTTTGTCCTGTATCCACACAAATACAGAAACACTCAAGAGGACTGGTTTATTATTTTTCATTTTATAAAAATGGGATAGAGTATCTATGTCGTGCAACAATCTTGCTTTTGAACTGAACAATGTATTATTTCTGCTTCCTTTCCGTGCATATATCATAGACATATTTTAACAAAATCCGGGCTCCCAGTCTGTCAGGAAGCGCTACAGTTCTGCAGGGGGAGGGGGCGCAGATCCGGGCGCTCTCTCCCTCCCCCTCAACCCTCCCTCTCCCCGGGCGTCACCCACCCCGGCCCCCTCCATCCCTGCCCCCTTCTCTCCCGCCACTTCCCTCTCCCCTTATCAACCCTCTCCCCCCGGGCCGCCACACCTCTACACCCCCTTCTCGCCCCACCCCCTCCCT